ATATTTCCTTTTACTTGTTTTGTTTGCTGATAATAAATTTTCCTTTTTGCTATTTTTAATGTCCAAAGGAAGATATGTTTTTGCTCATTTCATCAGGTAATTTGGGAGAGAAATGCTGTGATGTCTGCTATCTAAACCTGGAAGTTCACTTAATTTCCAACCTTATATTGAAAATAATTTTGAAAATAATAATCCTGTTTTTGGTGCCATCTTGATGGCTCATAAAATTCTCAGATACAAGTATTTAAGTAAAAATATTTTAGTAAACAGTTTAAGATAACAAAGTGATTTAATTTATGCCATGGGTTGGGTTCAAGATAATAACCATAAATAAATACCTGTAGGTTAACAAATACATATTTGGGAAAGAGATTAATTAGTAATAGTTTCTTAACAAAGTATATTTGTCCTAAATCATTGTGTTCTTTGTAATTTTAGATGGTTGTTTGTGGATTTTCTGTCGTGAAATTAGATCATAAAAACAAAAAAACCCTGCTTAGTTTTTAGGAAGAATATGAGGAAAGAAAGAATTTTTGGAATATTGTTGAGAATTAAAATTTTATAAAACACTGCATTATGTACCTGTAATCATCTTTTTAATTTAAAAAAATTTTTTTTAAAGTTTTATTTTTTCATTTTGAGAGAGAGAGAGAGAGAGCACACGCGAGCGCACAAGCAGGGTAGGGGCAGTAAGAGAGGGAGAGGGAGAGAGAATCCCAAACAGGCACCGCACTGTCAGTGCAGAGCCCGGTGCAAGGCTCAAACTCATGAACCGTGAGATCATGACCACGAGTTGGCCGCATAACCAATTGAACCACCCCAGTGTCTCTCTGTAATTATTGTTTAATGTCCTTTATCTCTTTTTTGTCCAAGTGCATAATTGAAGTTTTTTCCACTTAATGGCTATGATATGTAATATATTCTCTTGTCCTGTTCCCTTTGATCATAGTAGAGGGGCATGGGACCAAGAAAGACCATATGGGTTACATGGGGATTATATTTATAATAAGGACATAATTTATACCTATAGATTTTATGATTAAAATAATTGGCCTGTAACAAAATTTAAAGCAATAATGATTTAACAAAATTATTACTATTATTTTTTAAAATATAATTTATTGTCAAGTTTGCTAACATACCGTGTATACAGTGTGCTCTTGGTTTTGGGGTAGATTCCCGTGATTCATTGCTTACATACAACACCCAGTGCTCATCCCAACAAGTGCTCTCCTCAATGCGCATCACCCATTTCCCCCTTTCCCCTGCTCCCCACATCAGCTCTCAGTTTGTTCTCTATATTTAAGAGTCTCTTATGGTTTGCCTCACTCTCTGTTTGAAATTATTTTTCCTCTTTCCTTCCCCCATGGTCTTCTGTTAAGTTTCTCAAGTTCCACATATGAGTGAAAATGTATGGTATCTGTCTTTTTCTGATTGACTTATTTAACTCAGCATAATACCCTCCAGTTTCATCCACGTTGTTGCAAGTGGTAGGATTTCATTCTTTCTCATTGCCAAGTAGTATTCCATTGTATATATAAACCACATCTTTTTTATCCATTCATCAGTTGATGGACATTTAGGCTCTTTCCATAATTTGGCTGTTGTTGAAAGCACTGCTCTAAACATTGGAGTGCATGTGCCCTTATGAATCAGCACTCTTGTATCCTTTGGATAAATTCTGAGTACTACTATTGCTGTGTCATAAGGTAGTTCTATTTTTAGTTTTTTGATGAACCTCTGCACTGTTTTCCAGAGTGGCTGCACCAGTTTGCATTTTTACCAACAGTGCAAGAGGGTTCCCGTTTCTCCACATCATTGCCAGCATCTGTTATTTCCTGAGTTGTTAATTTAAGCTGCTCTGACTGGTGTGAGGTGGTATCTCAGTGTGGTTTTGATTTGTATTTCCCTGATGACGAGTGGCATTGAGCATCTTTTCATGTGTCTGTTGGCCATCTGGATGTCTTCTTTGGAAAAGTGTCTATTCATGTCTTCTGCCCATTTCTTCAGTGGATTATTTGTTTTTTGGGTGTTGAGTTTGGTTAAGTTCTTTATAGATTTTGGATATTAACCCTTTATCCGATATGTCGTTTGCAAGTATCTTTTCCCATTCTGTCAGTTGCCTTTTAGTTTCGTTGTTTCCTTTGCAGTGCAGAAGATTTTTATCTTGATGAGGTCCCAATATTCATTTTTGCTTTTAATTCCCTTGCCTTTGGAGCAAGAAATTGTTGCGGGTGAGGTCAAAGAGGTTGTTGCCTGTTTTCTTCTCTAGGGTTTTGATGGTTTCCCGTCTCACATTTAGGTCTTTCATCAATTTTGAGTTTCTTTTTGTGTGTGGTGTAAGAAAGTGGTCTAGTTTCATTCTTTCACATGTTGCTGTCCAGTTCTCCCAGCACCATTTGTTAAAAAGACTCTTTTTTCCATTGGATACTTTTCCTGCTTTGAAAGGTTGGTTGGCCATACATTTGTGGGTCCAATTCTGGGGTCTGGGGTCGTCGTCGTCGTCGTCGTCGTCTTCTTCTTCTTCTTCTTCTTCTTCTTCTTCTTCTTCTTCTTCTTCTTTTTTTAATCTTTATTTTTGAGAGAGAGAAAGACAGAGCGCAAGCAGGGGAGGAACAGATAGAGGAGACACAGAATCCGAAGCAGGTTCCAGGCTCTGAGCTGTCTGCACAGAGCCCGACATGGGCTCAAACCCACGAACTATGAGATCATGACCTGAGCCGAAGTCGGACGCTTAAGTGACTGAGCCACCCAGGCGCCCCTCTGGGGTCTCTATTCTATTCCATTGGTCTATGTGTCTGTTTTTGTGCCAATACCATACTGTCTTCATGATTACAGCTTTGTAGTAGAGGTTAAAGTCTGGGATTGTGATGCATCTTGCTTTGGTTTTCTTTTTCAACATTACTTTGGCTATTTGGGGTCGTTTGTGGTTCTATAAAATTTTAGGACTGTTGTTCTAGCTTTGAGAAGAATGCCGGTGTAATTTTGATTGGGATTTCGTTGAATGTGTAGATTGCTTTGGGTAGTATTGACATTTTAACAGTATTTATTCTTCCATCCATGAGCATGGAATATTTTTCCATTTCTTTGTGTCTTCTTCAATTTCCTTCATAAGTTTTCTGTGGTTTTCAGCATACAGATCTTTTATATCTTTGGTTAGGTTTATTCCTTGGTATTTTATGGTTCTTGGTGCAATTGTAAATGGGATCAATTTCTAGATTTCTCTTTCTGTTGCTTCATTATGGGTGTATAGAAATGCAACCGATTTTTGTACATTGATTTTGTATCCTGTGACTTTGTTGAATTCATGTATCAGTTCTAGCAGTATTTTGATGGAGTCTGTCGGGTTTTCCATGTATATAGTATCATGTCTGCGAAAAGTGAAAGTTTGACTTCTTCTTTGCCAGATATGATGCTTTTTATTTCATTTTGTTGTTTGCTGAGGCTAGGACTTCCAACACTATGTTAAACTACAGTGGTGAGAGTGGGCATCCCTGTCATGTTCTTGATCTCACTGGGGAAATTCTCAGTTTTTCCCCATTGAGGATGATACTAGCTGTGGGCTTTTCATATAGCTTTTATGATGTTTAAGTATGTTCCTTCTATCCTGACTTTCTTGAGGGTTTTTATTAAGAAAGGATGTTGTATTTTATCAACTGCTTATTCTGCATCTATTGACAGGATCATATGGTTCTTACCCTTTCTTTTATTAATGTGATGTATCACATTGATTGATTTGTGAATATTGAACCAGCCCTACAGCCCAGGAATGAATCCCACTTGATAATGGTGAATAATTCTTTTTATATGCTGTTGAATTCGATTTGCTAGTATCTTGTTAGGAATTTTTGCATCCATGTTCATCAAGATACTGGCCTGTAGTTCTCCTATTTTGTGGGGTCTCTGTCTGGTTTGGGAATCAAAGTAATGCTGGCTTCATAGAATGAGTCCAGAAGCTTTCCTTCCGTTTCTAGTTTTTGGAACAGCTTGAGAAGGATAGGTATTAACTCTTCTTTAAATGTCTGGTAGAATTCCCCTGGGAAGCCAGCAGGCCCAGGTCTCTTTTTTTGTTGGAAGATTTTTGATAACTGATTCAATTTCTTCACTAGTTATGAGTCTGTTCAAATTTTCTATTTCTTCCCATTTGAGTTTTGGTAGTGTGTGGGTGTCTAGGAATTTTGTTCACTTCTTCCAGTGGTCCAGTTGTCCTGTTTGTTGGCATATTGTTTTTCATTGTATTCTCTGATAATTGTTTATATTTCTGAGGGGTTGGTTGTGATAAGTCCAGTTTCATTCGCGATTTTATCTGTTTGGGTTCTTTCTCTTTTTGAGAAGTCTAGCGAGGGGTTTATCAATTTTGTTTATTTTTTAAAAAAACCAGCTCTTAGTTTCATTGATCTGTTCTACTGTTTTTTTAGATTTTGTATTATTTCTGTTATAATCATTATTATTTCTCTTCTTCTGCTGGCCTTGGGGTTTCTTTGCTGTTCTGTTTCTAGTTCCTTTAGGTGTGCTATTAGATTTTGTATTTGGGATTTGACTTACATGAGGATTATATTTATAATAAGGACGCCATTTATACTTATAGATTTTATGATTAAATAATTGGCCTGTAACAAAATTTAAAGCAATAATGATTTAACAAAATTATTTTTAAAAATGTTCCTCATATTTAGAATTAAAATTTATAGTTCCTTTGTTCTAATAGCTGCTTAGTAATTCAAACATGAAACAAAATGTAGCATAGTAATTCAAATAGTAAAAGCATAATGAGATATTGTCATATCATTTTCTTTTAGTGCAGAATAAATTCATGACAGGGAGTTTTGGAATGCAGACAGTGTATTGATCTGGGTATAAGTGTGTTCACTTTAATGTTTCATCAGGTTGTATATTATATGATTTATGTACTTGCTGTGTGTACATTACGTTTGAATCAAATTAAAGAAATTGCCATTAAAATATGAAGAAACTTACCTTCTTTTCTTTTCTCTTTCAAGGAAATGATTATTGACAGAGTAAATGGACAGGCTGTTCCTAGGTATTTGATATATGACATAATTAAATTCAATGTAAGTACCTTTTATAGTTTATAAAATTGCCCTTGAGATAATAGTTATATTTTTACACATAAAAAATGTTACTGCCGGGGTCCCTTGGTGGCTCAGTCAGTTAAGTGTCTGACTTCAGCTCAGGTCACGATCTCAGGGTTTGTGAGTTCAAGACCCGTGTCCGGCTCTGTGCTGACAGCTCAGAGCCTGGAGCCTGCTTGAGATTCTGTGTCTCCCTGTCTCTCTCTGCTCCTCCCCCGCTTGCACTCTGTCTCTCTCTTTCTTAAAGATAAATAAACATTAAAAAAATTTTTAAGAAGTGTTACTGCCTTAGAGATAGTAGGAAAGAAAAATTGTGACTGAGGTTACTCGTATGAAATCTTAATAATTTTTTACATTTCTTTGTCTTTAGAGTTTTTTTAGATACTTCAGGTGAGTAAAGAAAAATAGTTTAACTGATAAATAAGACAGCATTTTATAGGATGTAAACTCTTGGTTTTAGTTATTCTATACCCACTTAAAAAAACAAATCCACAAATTTTATTACTGTTACTTAAAAAAAAGAGAGAGAAGCTGATTCTGGGTGTTGAGCATGTAACTTGGGGACATAAAGATGTTATTCATGAGTACAGGCAGGAAACTTAAAACAAAATATATAATTCTGTTATAAACAGATATCAAAAAATAGGAATTACATTCTCTACCCATGCTATAGTTTTAGACCAGCCCCCAAATCTGCCTGTTTAGTTTAATTTTAGTATCACTGTCTACATTATTTAGACAATACAAGATGACTCTATAAATGCAAGAAACTCTTTCAACAGTGTACACCTACGAAAAGGTATAATCATTTCTCTAGACGTACATTATTCAAATTGCATAGTCATTTAGTATTCAAAGCAGACTAAAAGCAATTAAGAATTCTGGACTTAAAAGTGTTGTCTAAGTGTTAGGATTTTGAAGATTTATAACAAATTTTTAAAAGTTCTCTTTTGGGGTATGTATTTTACTTAGTATTATTTTTTGAAGCTTATTTATTTTGAGAGAGAATGCACATGCATATGAGTAGGGGGTGGCAGACAGAGAGGGAGAGAGAGAGAATCCCGAGCAGGCCCTGAGCTGTCAGCACAGAGCCTGACGCTGGGCTCGATCTCATGAACTGTGAGATCATGACCTGAGCTGAAACCAAGAGACGAACGTTCAACCGACTGAACCACCCAGCCACCCCTGGGGTATGTATTTTAAATTACAGTATCAAGATTCAGGATGCGTTAATCCAGGTTACTTTAAAAAAGGCATTTTTTTTTTTCCTGGAAATTCTCTCTCTCTATATATATATATATATGTGTGTGTGTGTGTATTCAATATATATATTTGTGTTTGTGATTACTGTATTCCTCAAAAGTAATGCTTTCCACAATTGACTATCCTTATCACAGATTTTGGAATAATGTTCATTGGCCCATAATGAGACATGAAGGGTGGTGGTTGCGTTGTTTTGTTGTGATTGGAGAAGTTTTGTCTTCTTTGCTTTTTGACGTTGAGCTCTGCTTTAATATGTGTTCAGTGCAGGTTCACTTCTTAGCCTGGAAACTTTGACAATAGCCTTCTAATTCTTTAAAAAATAAATATGAGAAGTTTCAGTGTATACAAAAGTATAGAGAATAATTTAAGGAATATACATGTATTAACCATCAGATATGTTGAAGCTTAACATTTTGTCATTTTTACCTATTTTTTGAGATAAGAAATAAATCATTACAGATCTAGTAGAAGTTTCTTGTGCACACCTCTCTCATCCAAAACAGGACGACCTTTTATGCAGAAGAAACTTCTACCCTGTATTTGATATTTATTATTTTCATGAATGTTTTTAATATCTGTACTGTCTATGTGTGTGTCCATAAAATAATATGGTATTGTGGTGAGAGGTTTCTAGTGTTATATAAATGCCATTGTACTGTACTGTGGTATTCAGCTTTTTGGTCCACATTATTTTGTTGAGATTTATCTGTATTAATACATATAGGTTTAGTTCATTCATTTTAATTAGTATTGAGTATTAATTTGCATAAATATATAAAAAATTTTTTTCCTTTTGAACATTTGGGTTTCCATATTTTGCTGTTATACAACTATTGAACAGTTTTATATATTCTTGTGTGCATACATCAGAGTTTGTCTAGGACAGTTTTCATTCTTGGGATGTAAACACCTGAGATGTGTTTTTAAAAAGTACAGTTCCTCACTCCTGCCTATGATATAGAAACCTACATCACAGAGATTCTGAATTGGCAACTTTAGGTGTATTTGCTACCTTGTTGAATTCCTCTCAGAAGTAGGTGTAACAGCTTACCACAGTTGGTATTATCAGACTTGAAAATTTTTGCTAATTGGATGCGTATGAAATGGTATTTCATCTTGTTTTAATTTGCTTTTCCCATATTACTAATGAAGTTAAGGCATTTCAAACGTTCATTTTTACTTATTTGGATTTTTTAGTGTGTGATTTAATTGTAAGTTGAATATTCTAATTTTGTTATTTGGTTGTCAATCTTAATGTGTAGGAATTAATTATTCTGGATTCTAATACTTTTTTGGTTATGTATGTGACCGTATCTTTTGCAGATTAGTATCTAATGATGCACAGAAGTTTTTCATTTTAATGAAATCAAACTTACTGGACTTGAAAGTTTGTGCTTTTGCATCCCGTTTAGGAAATTCATCCATATTTTGCTGTGATATGATTAGGTTATGCTTTAACTCTCTAGGGCTGTAATTATTTACTCAATAAATATTTATTGAGTGCCTATTGCCATATTTCATTGGTTTTAAAGTCACATTTTCCCCCACATTTCTGATATTAGTATATATTTATAATTGAAACCATCATATATTTAATTCCTTAATTTATTATGGAGCCTTGATGATTAGCCAGCTTATTTTGAATCACGAAGTCAAGGTCACTATTAGAAAAAAGTCATTTTTTTAAATAATCGTTAAAAATCTTTTTAGTTCCCTTATTTTGTACAAGAATTTCATTAATCATCTTTTATATATATTGTTCTAGGTATTGGATATACATAGGTGAATAAGACATAATTTCTGGCTTTCAGGGAGTTTGTAATAAGAGTACACTGGCCTCCAAAGAAGGCCGTTATCACAGATTTGAGAAGAAATTTTTTGTTTGTGTTTATGTATTCAGTTTTTGTCTGTGTTATAATATACAGTTGTACATGTATGCAATTCATTAGAAATTAACATACATATATTATAAACATTTGTTAGGTATGTATTTAGATTGGGTACAAAATCAAGAGAAATTTGTGGACCACTGGACTCATGGACGAGGAATAAATGTAAAGAATTATGATAGTATAACAACAATGCAGGTATGTTAGGGATATAGAAATGTATGACAGGCACTAGAGAAGTGAGAGTATTTCAGTTTAGCCAGGGTGTAGTTGAGTTACTGAAGTGTTGACTTGCAGATAGAGAAAGTTACATGGATTAATTTTGAAGGATAGAATCATGGATGTCAGGAGCATTAGGTGGTTGTTAGTGTACTTGATGTCTGGGGAGATATGGGACACAGCAGGAAAAGCAAATGGATTGGGGTCAGGTGACTTGAATAAGGCATTTTAGCTTAGTTCTGTAATAGGGCACTATTGATTCATTTTAGTTATGTTCATGATAGGCTCACACTTTTATTGTTTTGAAAGATGAACTACAGTGGCAGCTTAGATAGTATTTTGAAGTGAGAAAGAATTCAAAACTAGAAGGCCAGTTAGTTAATAGTTACTGAGTTCTTCCTGTTGTCTGTTTTCAATGATTTACCATCTATCTATCAACTGCCTCCTTTAGTATAGGCAGCATAGATTTGCAGATGAACCTGCTTTCAGTTTTTTCTTGTTGTTTTGATGAATTTATGTATACATACTTTGAAGTGAAAAGTATTTAGGAGAGAATTAAGACAACTTACATATTTGTAAACAGTTAGGCTTTTTATTTAAAAAAGGAGGACTTGTTCCACATTAATTTTATAGGGATCTGAATTCATCTAATAGGTATAATAAATAAGCCTAACATTTCAGGTTTTTCAGCCTTATTGATGATGTAGGTGGTATGGGAAAGATTACACATGAACTTTGTGATCATTGACTAACATTTCTTCAATACATACGTTTTACAAACAGTTGTATGCCTTTATGTAAAGGGAACATGTACTACCTCATATCTAGGGCTTATTATTCTTTGCTGAGTATCAAAATTGTCATCCTTTCAAAGCTGAGAAAAAATCATTCTCAAGGCATATTTAATGTCTACAGCTTAAGCAAATGCTGCCACCCTTTTGTAAGCATTAGGTTGTATAAACGTTAGGTTGGGTGATATAGATTAGGGAAGAGGAAGAAGATGAAAAGGTGAGAAAAATTCATGGAAGCGTGTCCCATCTGCAAAATAAAAAAGAGGGGTACTTGATATGAGGTGATGTTACTTATCTGGATGATACTGTCACCAGATGAAGTGTTATAAACTATATTTGTCTATACCATTTGGATAGTTTAAGCCCCTACCTTCAATTTATGTAAAAAGTATATGCACTCTTTTTATTTCATGGTTCAAATCATAGATACCACTTATATGGACCATGTTGTATATATACTGTATATAGAGAACTTTATAACTGTATAATTGAATATATTATGGAAACTTTGTTCTAGATTAGTTTTCAGAGTTGAGAATGTATTTGTCTAATAATTATTTTCTAATTGTTGATGTATTAGCACTTTAAGCAACAAAAAACATTATAGGCGACTGTGTTGCTTATTTTGATATGTTATTTGCTTATACTTTCCTGAATTATGTGGATTTTAGTTTCATACTGGTTTTATTAGTTCATATAATTGTACTAATTCAAATAATAAAAATGATTAGTCAGTATATTAACACTTTAATTCAGATGTGAAAACTTCAGTTTATATTGGAGAATATTGTATCATTCTTATACTATTTCATGCATTTATAATTTTAAAATAAATAACTCTTGTGTGTCTATGTGTGTGTGTTTAGGTGTGTTTATTAGTCAAATTAGGACTGACATGTGGTTGTGCAATCTATGCACTGGACAACTTTAAAGATGCTCCTTACATAGACTGCTATGTACATTGTGATGGCTTTAATAATTATGCTGATAAAATAGTTTTTAGTATTGAAATTGAAATAATTGTCTCATTTGATTCAGGCACAGCCAGTTGGAGATTGTGATTTTAATATTCGTCTGCAGTGTATAGAAAGAGAAATAATAAGTCCTCGACATGAAAAAATGAAGACTGGGCTCATTGACAAAACACAGGAACCATTTAGTGTCAGAAATAAGCCATTTTTTGACATCTATACTTCAAGAAAGGTAAAATTTTCTAATTAGTCCTTACAGTGTGTCATAATTCAGCTTGTGAGAGGATTATGAATGACATATTACTGCCCAGTTGTCTTGATTTTTCCAGAAATTATTTTAATTGAATATAGCACTATTCTGGACAAACTTGTGCAATTCCCAAGTCTTCTCCAGAGTAAGATTCTCAGTGATGGAAACTTAAACTAGGTTCCTTTCTTGTTTCTCATAATAGTTTTTGATTCATGGCTGTTGGTCTATGTTATGTTTTTTAAAAAGCTGTAGACAGTAAAGAATGAGATAGAGTGAAAATTACCTGTTATGCCTTCTGAAGTTCACCAACCACCAGTGGTTGGTACTTACTCCTATTTAAAAAAGCATTTGCATACGTACATAGATTGAGGGTTTTCTTTTGTTTCTTTCTGTTGTTTTGACACTTAAAATGCATCATTCTGGGATTGTTGTTTTCTTTATCTAACAGTGTGGCTTGGAAATATTTTCAGGTTAGTGCTTAGAGATTTGTCTCATTATTTTTAACTACTACATAGTATTTGACAGTAAAGATGCAACATGAAATTATTATATTTTGGAGAAGGGGTGGTTATGATAGAATAATATAGGAAGTATAGCAACATCTGCAAGTATGCATTTTAAACTCTTTTCTAATATAATCCCACATGCTAGATGATGTAAATTTTTGTAGTATTTTACCCGCTTCTGCTCATGTCCACTTAATTTGGAATGAGCCCTTGGATATAATAGCTACGGTAATCCCAGCACTGTCCAGTGCCTATCATTTTTCATGTCAATGAATACGAAGTTATTATTCTGTTTTTATGGAATTTTTGCATAACACCTGCTTGGCATGGAACTCTTGGTTGATCCCTGCTGCCATGATCTTCCCACAGCTCGCTGCTTGCCTTTTGTGTCTGTTTTGGCAGCAGGGATGTTAAAGGGGTATCTATTTCTGTGCCCTGCCCAATCTGTAGGGTAAGGGTGAGGATAAGGTTGATAGACACTTAACATGGACTATGTCATTGGTGAAAATTTGCTAACTGGAGCAATGCATTCTTATAGAAACACTTTCTAAATTATAAATCAGTGTAAAAGTTGAGCAGAGGCCACATGGTTTCAGTTTGCATTCATTTTTTAAAAAAACTAACTTGACAGCTTGTGCTGTCATAATTCAAGTTCAACATTTAAGAAAATGTCTTAGATCATACAGTTTCTTTAGTTACAACCAGTGCTACTTAGAAATATTTGCGGTGGATTACTATTAGAACTGTTCTTAAGGGATGTGAAGCAGTTAGGTTGAACAACTTTTCATGTAGTTTTTCACTAGTAAAACCTGTTTTTTGTTTAAACACTTAGCTTATATAACCCCTAAAAAATTCTAAGATACTCTTTTTTTTAAAAGGAATTCTAGGGGTGCCTGCGTGGCTCAGTCAGTTAAGTGTTAGACTCTTGATTTCGGCTCAGGTCATGATCTCACAGTTTATGAGTTCGAGCCCCACATCAGGCTCTGCACTGACAGCACGGAGCTTGCTTGGGATTCTGCCCCTCCCCGGCTGACGTGCGCATGTGCATTCTCTCTCAAAATAAGTAAACTTAAAAAAAAAATTAAAAGAACTCTAGTATGTGGAATTTTAAGTATAACTTCCTCCTCTCATTTTCCAGTTCTGTTGTTTTTTTTTTGTTCCATGTAATAAAGAAGAAAAGCACATTTTGTAGCAGAGTTGGTCTAAAGGGTAAGACTACAGCAACACCAGTTATAGGATAGTAGCTACATGTAACAGATGATTGCTGTAGAGATTCTTATTATTTTTATCATTACTAATGGGAATGGGTGAAATAGTGATATTATGAATAATAAAGCATTTTTGAGAGAAGTATGTATCATTTTTTATGAGGAATGCTAGTTTTTATGTGGATTTAAACAAAATTTACAACTATGAAGAATGCACAGAAATGTGTAGAATAATAGAATTTTATTTCTATATATCTATAAAATCTTGGAGATAACTTTGATTTTAGGACTTAACATAGCTCTGTTAACAACCTACTCATTTTGTCATTTGATCTGTCAAGTCCAGTGAAGAGATAATGAGTTGTTCAGTTTTTAACTTTAGTATACATAATTAGAATACAGCATCCAAAATAGTAAAAACAAATAGCAGCTTCTCAGATTACAGCTTATTTGTATTTACAGCTTGTTTGTATTTACAGCTTGAAGGCCAATTAAAAGAGTATTATTTGAATGGATTAATATGTTTATAAAATTTTTAAAGTCACACAGCAAAAAGTTTCTATGAAAGTTTTCTATTCATTTATCACATCAGAAGAATAACCATTGCCATTAGCTTATAACTGTATCCATCAGAATTTTCCTATGCATATATAAGCAAATACATTTACTATTCTTACCAACCTTATCCAAGAGATGATTCTTAACACACCATTCTGTGCTTTTATTCTTTCTTTCTTTTATTCTATTCTTTGCTTTTTTTACTTAATATATTTTGAGTCCCCTTACCCCAATATTGGTATGTAGAGATAGTCCCCCCTTTCCTTTTTTTTTCACAGATGCAAAGATTTTCATCTTATCAGTACCATAATTTAACTATTCCATAGTCTTAGACATTTGAGTTATTTTTAGACATTGGAGTTATTTTTAGTCACTTGATAGGTTTTTGTTTGTTTTGTATATGAATATCCAATTATTTCTGCACCAGTTATTGAAGAGACTGCCCTTTTTTCATTGACTTGCTTTTTGCACCTTTATGAAAACTAAGTTGTCATGGAATGTCTGGGTCTTTTTCTAGACTCTGTTCTGTTCCCTTGATTGTATTTGTCTGTCTTTACACTAGTACCACACTGTCTTGATTACGTTTCAGATTAAACCTTGAAATGAGATAGGATTAACCTTCCAACTTTCTAGGCCTTAGCATTTTCTTTTTTTTTTTTTTTTAAATTTTTTTTTTTTAACGTTTTATTTATTTTTGAGACAGGGAGAGACAGAGCATGAACAGGGGAGGGTCAGAGAGAGGGAGACACAGAATCTGAAACAGGCTCCAGGCTCTGAGCTGTCAGCACAGAGCCTGATGCGGGGCTCGAACCCACAGACCGCGAGATCATGACGTGAGCCGAAGTCGGCCGCCTAACCGACTGAGCCACCCAGGCGCCCCTAGGCCTTAGCATTTTCATGTGAATTTTAGAATAAGTTTGTCAGTATCTACGAAGTGCATGCTGGGATTGGATTGGAATTGCATTGAATATATAGATCAATTTGGGGGAGAAGATTTGATACCCTAACAGTGTTGAGTTTTCCAGTTTATCAAACTGGTATTTCTCTCCTTTTATTTAGGTCTTTAATTTCAGAAAATTTTTTTGTTTAAACAGATGAACATAAGGGAAGAAAAGCAAAAATAATATAAAAACAGGGAGGGGGACAAAACATAAGATACTCTTAAATACAGAGAACAAACTGAGGGTTGCTGGAGGGGTTGTGGGTGGGGGGATTGGCTAACTGGGTGATAGGCATTGAGGAGAACACTTGTTGGGATGAGCACTGGGTGTTATATGTAGGGGATGAATCACTGGATTCTACTCCTGAAATCATTATTGCACGATATGCTAACTAACTTGGAGTAAATTAAAAAAATAAAATAGAAAAAAAAGAAATTTTTGTGGTTTTACTCATCTGACTTTTTTCAGATTGATTTCATACTCTTTGATGTATTATAAATAGTATTTAAATTTTCAATTTTTAATTGTTGATAACATATAGTAATACATTGATTTTTGTATATTGATTTTTTTTCTTGCAGTCTTGCTAACTCACTTATTACTTTACTAGATTATTTTTTTAATTATTTATTTTTGAGAAAGAGAGAGAGAGAGAGAGAGAGAGAGAGAGAGAGAGAGAGTAAACACAAGTGGGGGAGGGGCAGAAAGAGAGGGAGACACAGAATCTGAAGCAGGCTCCAAGCTCTTAGCTGTCAACACAGAGCCTGACATGGGGCTTGAATCCACGAAGTATAAGATAATGACCTGAGCTGCAGTCAGACTCTTAATGAACTGAGCCACCCAGGTTCCCATGTACTAGCTTTTTATAGATTCCATCATATCTTTTTACATAGACAGTCATGTCCTCTGCAAAACAAAACAAAAAAAAAAGGGCACTTTTAGTTTTCCTTTCCAATCTGGATACCTTTTTATTTTTTCTCTTGCCTTTTTAGACTGGCTAAGAGCCTCTTATTTAATGTTGAATACAGGTAGTGAGAGTGATACAGCCATATTTATTCCTTTTCTTTGGAATAGGAAAAGTCTATTTTAACTATTAAGGGTGCTGTTACCTGTAGGACTTAGCAGATGCCTTTTATACAAGTTTTTAAATTTGAAAGCTGTTGATTTGGGGGGCACCTGGGTGGCTTAGTCAGTTAAGCATCCAGTTTTGGCTCAGGTCATGATCTCACAGTTGTTGGGTTTGAGCCTCGTGTTGGGTTCTGTGCTGACAGCTCAGAGCCTGGAGCCTGTTTGGCTTTCTGTGTCTCCCTCTCTCTCTGTGCCCCTCCCCTGCTGGTACTCTCTCTCTTTCTCTCTTTCTCTCTGTCTTTCTCTCTCTCTCTCAAAAATGAATAAAAACATTAAAAAGCATTTTTAAAAATAAGAAAAAAAAGAAAGCTGTTGATTTTGGTATACAGACTTTATTTTTCCAGTTCTCACTATATTTTGTTGTTTATAATTCTTCAGTTGATTCTCTTGGATTTTCTAGGTATTCAATCATATTAAGTATAAATAGACACAGTTTTATTTAGATTTTTAATATATTTTTCTCTTGTCTGATTCAGTTATGCATGAATACAGATTTTTTTTTTTTTTTCAACGTTTATTTTATTTTTGGGACAGAGAGAGACAGAGCATGAACGGGGGAGGGGCAGAGAGAGAGGGAGACACAGAATCGGAAACAGGCTCCAGGCTCTGAGCCATCAGCCCAGAGCCCGACGCGGGGCTCG